CTTCCATGAATTCTGCTTCTGTGAAGATCACCACAGGCATTTGGCTCTGCCAAGAGAAGCCAAGGGCTATCTTTGGCACTTCATGCATCACCAAGTGGGTCTACTTTAGTTCTCAAGTACATCTGTAGCCTATAGCCTGCCTCCCTTGCCCCACCTGCCATAGATAACTGCAGTTATCAGCCATCTCCTAACACCTCCCCAGCCTCCTGCTGGCTCTTCTTATTCCAGTTCAACCACACTTCCCTTTGAAGCCCTCCTCTGGCCCTGGACTATGTCCAGTCCACATGCTGGCTTCTGTTTTACTTGGCATGCACACCTGAGAGCCAAGACTTGACCCCAGGGCCTGGCTCTGGGTAGGGATGAAGTGACCTGAGTGAGTAGTCATGAAATGGGCAAATGATCCTCAGAAAGAACAGCTGGCCTCTAGTCATCTACCCAGGCTCAGTTTCCCTCCCCCAGGTAGTCTCAGGTGCTGGTCCACATCCAGGTCCATGCTTAGGCACACACTTGAGGTTGTCACTGTCTCTTCTGAGGTGAAGTTCTCCTCAGGAACCTCTGTGCCCTTCACTCTTCTGTTTTATGGTGATCTCATAAAGCTTTTTAGGGCCTGTAGAAAACGGATCCACTGGAGGAGGGCATGCCAGTCTTGGCTGTTTTAAAGCAAATGATGTTAGATTTTCCTATCAATGTGTAAATGCTTCTGGAGTTGGAGTTTTAGATCTCTTGTCACTAAAGTTCCCCCTAAATCTTGGAGAAAGAAAGAACCACTTTTCTGAAGGTAGGGGGTTGTATTTCCTTCTTTCACATGAAGGCAGAGGAGTAGGAAGTTTAGCTTTAACTCATGCTTGCAGAGACTGGACACCACACTGTCCCTAGGCTGTACTGTGGGGTCCAGGCAAGGAGAGAAAATAGAGATGGGTTCAGGTGGCCTCCTGCTGAGACACGGCAAAGGCCCTGGATCTTCCACTGATCTCTGTTCTGCCCCTGGCAGCCTGGAGCCCCACTTACAGTTCAGGTTTGGGAACAGATGGTGGGCACACATGTGGTAGCCTCTGAGGGATGGGGCACTTGGACCTTTACTGGGTGATGAAGGGCGAAGCCATTTCTCTGGTAACTTGTTTCTTTGGCAACTTGGTATGACTTTTTACCATTCTTGTCCAAGGTGTTTACCGGTCCTGTCATTGTATCTGGACATGATAGCCATGTGATGAAGAGCTCCAAAAATGGGTGGGGTGCTTCCTCTCTGCCTTTTCTAGCACTGTGTGCTTTATCCTTAAAGAGCCAGCCTAGTGTTTGCAGACCTCTGTAGATCCAGTTGGCATTAGTTCATGAGTAGCTAGACTTTCAGCTCTGAACATTGAAAACCATGAAATAACTGGTGGAGGTGGGGACAAGAGATTGCTCTGTCAGGCTTGCAGGCTTCTCCACATTTCTGGAAGAGTACCCCAGTGTCCTGTCTGGTGCTCTTCCCTCTGGAGTCCTTTGGGGGCAGGTCTGAACAGAGGTACAAGCTGGCACTCCAGGCTCCTTTGGGTTCATTGCTAATGGCCTTGCAGTTCCTAGCCACCCCTGTACTTCTTAGCAACTCCCCTCTAGCCCACCAGGGGAATGGAAGCCCGAGACATCTCCTGTCTAGGTTTGGGCTTGTTTTGATCTGAAATGTTGTTGTCAAGTATAAAACATAAATTCTTCTTGCCTGGAACCCCAGATCCCTGCTGTCCTGATCCAGAGATTGTGTTTTGTGTCTGTTCTAGAAGGATCAGGGTAGAGTGGCACGAGAGCAGCAGCAGCTCCCCCCCTCCAACCCCCCAGGATGGGCTTTGTCTAGGGGAAGCAGGCCTTAGGCAGCTGGGGTGCAGGAGTCTCTGCTGTGAGGAGCAGTGAAGCTAGGCACGTCCACAACCCTCTGAGAGCCGGCTCTGTCCCTGGGAGCAAACCGGGCACTGGAACAGGAAGAAGACGTTTGTCTTCTTCCAGAAATGAGTGACCCCAATGAGATACTGCCACTGGCCTCGCACAAAGCTCTGCATGTCACTGAAAAGCTTCCACTGGCCTCGCACAAAGCTCTGCATGTCACTGAAAAGCTTCCTGACCTGTTGTCTCTGACAAGGCCAATGCCTTGGCTCCTTCATCAGCCACTTGGTCACAAAGTCCTAGAAGAGTGGGAAGGGCTTTACACCTAACTGGTCTGTCTTTCTTTCTTTCCTTCCTTCCTTCCTTCCTTCCTTCCTTCCTTCCTTCCTTCCTTCCTTCCTTCCTTCCTTCCTTCCTCTCTTCTTTCTTTTCTTCCTTCCTTCCTTCTTTCCTTCCTTCCTTCCTTCCTCTTCCTTCCTTCTTTCCCCTTCCTCTTTCCCCACTCTGCACTCTGAACAAAAAGGCCCTTCATTGTCATTTTACACTGGACCCTATGCACCATGTCGTTAGTCTTGTCCATTCATTTGTCTTGCATATTTTATTCCTACCTTTCCTCTGTGCCCAAGTCTAGACCTATTTCATAAATGTAGCACTTTCCTCAGAGCACATGATCTTTACTCAGAAATATATGGGCAAACAGCAAGTCCTTGCTGTGGTAGTGAGACCTGACCTGACTGCAAACCACCAGCTTCCTTTAATTAAGGCTGCTTTGGGGTGAACTGCTTGGTAGTAGAGCACTGGCCTACATCCAGCACTGCAGAATGACAAAATACCCAGCTAACCAAAAATTAGATACTGCTCATACAGTGCTTAGGGCAAAGGCTCCTGTCCCTGCCCATCACTGATGCTGCAGAGAACCTTGGACAGGTACTTTGTCTCCCAGGACTCCCAAATGAAACTGACTGTCCCGGCTGGCAACTTCCTAAAATTCAGATGAGAAAAGAGAGAAGCAACTGTGCTTGAGTGTATGTATCTGTTGGGGGTGGATCTTCAGTTGGCTGTACCTGCCAAGGATCATTTATCTCAAGGTGGCTAGGTGACACCATTAGAACTCCTTAGGAATGGTAGCTGTTAGCCAGAGCAGAGACTGTTGGGGAGGAGACGAAAAAAGGATGGCCAGGAAGGTTGATCTGTGTGGCAACAAGACAAAAGATTCTAACCAGACCTGGGCATTTGGAGAAAGGTGATACCAGTGAACACTGGGCAGGGGTACCCTTCAGTTCCTGGGTCAGATGAGCACCCTGGCCACCACCAGCTTATTGTACCTACCACTGTAAGTCCTGGCAGGTGTCTATCCTTTTGTATCTTACTCTGACTTCTTTCTCCACACAAGTATATAACATATTGAAGTCAGATGGGAAAAGCTGGAAAGAGCAGACGTTCAGGTTGCCCATGGCTGTTGGAGCCACTGCCCTGAGCAGAGGTGGTACTGCCAGAAGACGGTGTTCTGTGCACTTGCAATTGGGGTAAGAAGATGCACTCAGTGATGAAGCTGGTTAGGGCCTGACCTCATGCTGCTCCATGAAGAAACCACCTAGATCTGTGAAGCTAGATGCTGATCTGTGCAGCACGGACGTAGCCTCACAGCTCAAAGCTTGGTTCCCACTTGGTTTTAGGATCTGTGATTTTATAGAGAAGTAAAGGGTGGTAAAGTGCTTTGTCCAGTTACAAACAGTGTTGGTATTATTCTGTGGCGCTCTCATCCTTTGGAGGAGTAAGAGCTGCCCTTCAGGTGCTGAGTGGTTTGCTAGTCAGATTTGAGTTTCTTCAGGAGACTGACTCTCAATCCAGGAGAAGGTGACTTGACATAAACAGTGAGATGTGAAACAAGAAGTGTTGGGAGCTGTTCACAAAGTGAATTAACAAAATTTAAATGTGCAGTTTCATCTTCAAATGGCTTTCTTCAAACAAGGGTAAAGACCAGCATAGTTAATAGCTTTCTGGGCTTGTTCTTTGTGTAGTTGTGAACACCTTTTAGGGTAGACAGAAATAAGTCCAGGTGGCTCTGGGGGAATGAGGAAGATGCAACCCAGTGTTAAAATTACTGTGTAGCTGTGCATTGCAGGTGGTGAGAACTGTAGTGCTGACCAGCAGGATGGTGCCAAAGCCAAGTGGATTCTGGGTGCTTTTTGCCATCTGCACTCAGGCACTGCATGTGTTGCTGTGTGTGCATACTTTGAGGTGCATACTGGCTTGAAGGATGAGGATTTCATGTTCTTGATGTTAGTTTATTTTTGAGGCTGGGTTTCACTATGTAGTCCTGGCTAGCCTGGAACATGCTATGTAGATCCGGCTGGCCTCAAACTCATAGAGGTCTTCCTGCCTCCTCCTAAGTGTTGCATCAAAAGTGTGTATCACCACACCCAGCCCTCTTTTTTTTTTTTTTTTTTTTTTAGTGAACCAGTGGGTTCATTGTGGTTGCTTGTAGGAACATGGACGATTCAAAGGTAGCAGAAACATCAAAAAGGCCACTCCGGCATAGTTGATGGCTCATGACAGCTAAATTCCTGGAGCTCTCTGTACAATTTATAGGCAGATAGGAGAGTCCTCTCAATGTTATTAGTGTTTGTGACAGGGTCTAACCATGACTGTATAGCCCAAACCAGCTTTGAACTCAAGGTCCACCTCAGTGCTGAGATTATAGATGTGTGCCATATTGCCCAGCTTGAGGATCTTTTAAGTGCTTTAACAATGAGGAATGAGTTGGCATTTTAATAAATGGTACTTTTTTAACCTCATTGGTTGTTACCCACATTCAGCAGCCTGTATTGTTACCACAGAAGAGCCTTGGAGAGGCCTTTGGGTGCACAGAGCAGCATATAAATCATGTTGCAACCCAAGTCTGACCAGACAGGAGCAGTGCTCTGCAGCTGGTAGGTAGGTGGGATGAGAGATTCATAAAAGGCCCAGGCATAGTCACAGGGTGAGTCTTGGGAAACATGCTGTTACGGTTTCTCCAGAGCTTACCCAGCTCAAGGTTGGTTTTCTGTTTTGAAGGTCACATGATGGGAGACCTCTCTGTCCTCCTTATCACCTTCTGAGAGGATCAAGGGTCGCATTACTTACCTCTGTTTCTTTTCCCTCAGAATATTGACATCACAAACTTCAGCAGCAGCTGGAATGATGGGCTGGCTTTCTGCGCACTCCTTCATACCTATCTTCCAGCCCACATACCGTATCAAGAACTTAATAGTCAAGATAAGGTGAGGGGAAGCTAGGCTGTTACCTTGTTAGTAGGTTACCATGGCCCTGCCTCACAGTAGCCAGTCCCTGATCCACTCAGAGTTGTCTGTGACTTCATTCCCAGTGAGAGCTGTTAGTCCTTCTTGGTGACAAGAAGGCTGATGGTGGCATGAGCAGTCAGGGCCGTGCTGCCCAGCCTGTCACCTCAGGATCAGGACTTCTCCTCACAGCTCTTGTACACTGTGGGTCTCAGGAATGACAATGACCATGCCTCTAGTTCCAGGCTATGGTTTGAGGTGTTCTACCCAGAAAGTTTTTCAAGGTCTCCCACTTCCCCTCATGCAGCCCCAGCCCAGTAAATACTTGAAGATCTCCTCAGGAAAGAAAAGCCTTTCAGGAGAGGCTTTTAGTTTCTAGTGTTCGGGGTCCATGTCTGGCTAGCTGAGGGGCCATGTGCCAGAATACAACTTTCTAAGTGAAGAAAAAATGAATAGATGACCCTTAGCTGGCTGGAGAGAAGGCTGGCAGAGCTCATGAGTGGTGTCCCTGGAATACTTGGTAAAACTAGGAGCTAAAACCAGGAGTGCTGAGGCCCTGGTGGAGGCTGGTTTGGGTTCTAGACAGGTGAGTGTCCGTCCTTCATGTAACCTTTCTTCTTGCATTGTCCATTCACTATAGCAACAATATGATTTCTTTTGCAGAAAAGGAACTTCACCCTGGCTTTCCAGGCAGCTGAAAGTGTTGGCATCAAATCTACTCTGGTAAGCGTACAGCCCACTGAGGAGTTGCTGACAGCCTCCTGGCTAAGAAGAGCATGGTCACAGGTGGGCTGAGGTGCTTAATGGAATCTCAGCCACTACTTATGATACCCTCTGCCTTCAGGGTAGTGCCCTGAGTGACTTATGACCACAGGCCCTGGCTGTTCCTCATGATGGGTTTTTCCTTAACAGAATCTTTGGGTTTAGGAAAAAGGTGTCACTCTGCAGTACACTTTGCACAGGGATGTATGCCTTTTGTTGCTTGAGAGGGATAGGTCAGGTGCATCCCGAGTCTAGATGTTTCTGGGGCTGCACAGCACTGCCCATAGTTCCTCATAAAGGTCATGGGAAAGTGCCAGAAGTGTTGCTTGTAGGGCAGGAAATTTTCAGGTGTAGAAACTAGCGAGCTCTAGGGGCCTTCTTTGGGCTTCTGCCCTGCTGCTGGGCTCACACAGACATGCATCTATCAGGAGTTCTTGCTGTCCTCACCAAGCCTGACTTTCTAGGAGAAAATACTGCATCCAGATGCAAAGAAGTACTTCCACACTTAGAATTTGATACAGGGGCATTGCACAGATCTGCTACTGCTTAGGACTGATCATAAAAGAAAGGGCCTTGGGCTGGAGAGATGATTCAGCAGTTAAGAACACTGACTGTTCTTGTAGAAGACCTGGGTTGGAATCCCAGCACCCTCATGGCAGCTAACAACTGTCTGTAACTCCAGTCCCAGAGGATCCTACAGCATCTTCTGTCTTCTGTGGACATTGCACAACACGGGTGCAACCTACATGCAGGCATAACAGTCCTACACATTAAAAAAATAAAAATTAAAAAAAATATATATATATTTTTTTTAAAGGCCTTATGGGACCAGAACATTCCTAGGACCCCAGGATCCCTGCAGTCCTCTAGGGTTGCCTCCCCATCCAGGGGTGCCCATTACCTTGACTTGTAACAACCTAATGGCCCTATGGAGAAATATTTTCATTCATAGTTAAATTGTTAGAGTGTTCACTTATAAACATTCTTGTGAATTCATAGACGTATGCTTGCACAGGGTAGCTCCTGTCCAGCTATTTAGGGAGAGATCAGATAGTTACTGCAGTAGACACCTTACATCTTGTACAAAGTGTTCTTATACATAAAAGGTGGCCAGCTTTTTTACCTTAAAAAAAAAAAAAATCTCATAGTCAAGATTCTTACATTAAGCTGGCAGGGCTCTGTTTTCTGTTTTCAGGTTGAGTTGCCCAGGATAACCCTCCCTACCCCACATGCCAGTGCACACTCTGGGCTCCTCTATAGAAAGGCCCTCCTGTTCTTTAGCTGCAGTGTGGCACTTGTGACAGATGCTGAGACACAGCAGTTCAGGCATGGTTTCCCATACTCAGCTTCCTACACAACTAGTTCCCACATCACATGTCACTAGTATTCTACAGAAGGCAATTACAAAATAATGCCTTCAATGATTTCTAACACCCCATGGTGAAGGTCTCCAGTGTTGGTCCTGTGAACCCTGACACAGGAAGCCTTCCAGTGCCTTCAGAAATGTCTCCAGAGAATTAGCCGAGAGAGAGAGAGAGAGAGAGAGAGAGAGAGAGAGAGAGAGAGAGACTGAGACTGAAGGAGGGGAGTTTGCCAGACTAAGCAAAGTCCATCTAGTCTTAGCAAGCTGGGGCTGGGGTAGGGAGGAGACCCTGGTGTGACACAGGGCAGTGACTTGGAATGATGCTGATGCTCAGAAAGGAGGTGCCTCTCAGGGCCATGAGTGGAGGTAGAGCAGATGCTCTGGGCTTATCCTCTGAAAGAAACAGCAAACCTTGGACTAAAAGCCCTCTGCTGGTTGCTGGGATGCAGACCTCCTTGAGATGGCCTGGGAAAGAATCTGCAGTCCTAACTGAGCCTTTTCTTTGCCAGGACATCAATGAGATGGCACGGACTGAACGGCCCGACTGGCAGAATGTGATGGTGTATGTCACAGCCATCTACAAGTACTTTGAAACCTGAGCATGAGGAAGGAGCTGCCACCAGCTAGGGACCTCTGCAGACATCAAGAGACACCAACACTGTTAGCTAGAACCCCTAAAGCTTTCAGCGACTCTGGGCTGCCCTGCAGGATGTGAGCTCAGCTCAAGGCCTCTGCATAGGAACTGGAATGGCAGACCAGGGCTCATATACATGGCTGTCCTCCAGAGCAGGTCATGCAGCACACAGCCAGCTTCCCTCTGGAGACCATCAAGCTCCGTCAGCACCCTGGGATGTAAAAAACAAAAGGCCTGTGCCCAGCTAAACTTGGGAAACTGAATTAAATTGGCCCAGGGGTTAGTGAAAGCTTTAGTCATCGCACTTCTTGACTGCCACCCATGTGATTCCCAGTGCTGGGGCAGGCTGGCCTTGGTCCCTTCATGTGGGCCTGGGCTGTAGGCATGCATTACCATAGAAGAGGATCATCACCTCTTCTTCCATGTGACAGGGCTGTCATAGCTACTACAGTAAACTTAGAAGTGTCAAAAAATACAGCTTCCAAGCCCACAGCTGACTGAATCCATGCTGCCATAGGCAGGCTTCTGTCAGCAGAAAGCAGGTGGTGTCCTCCCTGGGTGCTCGGCCACCTGTCTCTAGCCCCAGGGAAAAGACTGGTCACAAGGAGTCCTCCTAGTTAACATTGTGTTTTATTATAAGCAATATTGGAAAAATAGCTCCTATTCTGTTAGTACCAAAGTTAATTGTTCTACTAAGCATAGAAATACCACACAAAATCTGGCTGTTAGCATATTGCAAGTGAGGATTCATGAAGGAGTAAGGAAGAGAAGGATCTGCTTAAGGGGACCAGAGATTCAAGTCACTGCTGGCTGCCCCTCAGGGCAGGAATTAAAACAGTGCCTTCGTCCTGCACCAGACGGCTGAGTCCCATACCAGTGTAGGTGTTCTAGATGTTGGTGGGATTCTGTGGTGGAAGTGGTCTCATGCTATGCCCACCCTCCTGGGATGTGGGGCCTGTACTGTGAGCCAAGGCCTTACTTGATTCTGTTGATGACTTTCCAGTTGGGACTTAGCACCCCCTTTTTGTATCATGTGCCTGACACAGAAGCTGTTGTTTAAACAATGTTAAGACCTGTAACTTCCAGAATATGTTGTGTTTGGCACCTTCAAGACACCATGAGGAAGACTGGCCACTAGTGGAAATGGGGTCACAACTGCACTAACTGGATGGATGCCCTGAGGGGTCTCTCTCAGGAGGCATGCCTAGTCTAAACATGGACTGAAGTTCTGCATTCAAGTGTAATGTTTTAGATTAGGAGTTGATGTGTCTGTGGAGCCTAGAGAAGAAAGTGGCTATTAGGAAGTGGGCTGTACCTGCATGTGTGACCTGTGGTATGCTGTCACCAGGTAGCCAGCACTACCCATCCACCCTGCCTAAATGCCCAATTATGATGGCTCAAGCTGCTACCCCTATTGCAGCTCTTTGGTGAAATGCCCATTTTTAGCTAAGGAGTGCACCAAGCTGCAGAGCGTACCAGAAGACCCCTATATCCTGGCTGCCCCCATGCCTAACTGGTTCTCTCTGGCTCAGTTTTGTTGTGTTACTCTGCTGATGATTAGCCGTCAGACTGAGTAGTCTGAGAATCACTGTTTCCAAACATGTCTCCATTGAATTTCTCTGAGCACCAGTCTCTGCTGTCTTTTGCCTTCAGTGAGGCCTGTCCACTCTGCACCAGGGTGTGTGGCCTGACGCCATGCTTTTATTTATTTTGTCATGGAGGAGGGCTGCCTTGTGAAAAATACTTACCCTGGCCTGTAGTTCACAACTTCTGTTCCATGGTGACTGTGAGCCAGTATCCGTATAAAAAGCTAAGCATGGCGGCACACACTAGTAATCCCAGGCCTGGGGAAGAAGAGACAGGTGGATCCTGAGGGCTTCCTAGTCAATCAGTCTAATCCACCCAGTGAGCCCCTGGGCCCAGTGACAGACTTTGTTTCAACAAAATAAAACAAAACAATGTAGATGACACCTGAGGGATGATACTCAAGGTTGACCACTGGCCTGCATGTTAATCCACACTCACACACGTGTACCTATGCACACACACACACACACACACATATATATATACACACATATACATTCTACGAGAGAGAGAGAGAGAGAGAGAGAGAGAGAGAGAGAGAGACTGAGACTGAAGGAGGGGAGTTTGCCAGACTAAGCAAAGTCCATCTAGTCTTAGCAAGCTGGGGCTGGGGTAGGGAGGAGACCCTGGTGTGACACAGGGCAGTGACTTGGAATGATGCTGATGCTCAGAAAGGAGGTGCCTCTCAGGGCCATGAGTGGAGGTAGAGCAGATGCTCTGGGCTTATCCTCTGAAAGAAACAGCAAACCTTGGACTAAAAGCCCTCTGCTGGTTGCTGGGATGCAGACCTCCTTGAGATGGCCTGGGAAAGAATCTGCAGTCCTAACTGAGCCTTTTCTTTGCCAGGACATCAATGAGATGGCACGGACTGAACGGCCCGACTGGCAGAATGTGATGGTGTATGTCACAGCCATCTACAAGTACTTTGAAACCTGAGCATGAGGAAGGAGCTGCCACCAGCTAGGGACCTCTGCAGACATCAAGAGACACCAACACTGTTAGCTAGAACCCCTAAAGCTTTCAGCGACTCTGGGCTGCCCTGCAGGATGTGAGCTCAGCTCAAGGCCTCTGCATAGGAACTGGAATGGCAGACCAGGGCTCATATACATGGCTGTCCTCCAGAGCAGGTCATGCAGCACACAGCCAGCTTCCCTCTGGAGACCATCAAGCTCCGTCAGCACCCTGGGATGTAAAAAACAAAAGGCCTGTGCCCAGCTAAACTTGGGAAACTGAATTAAATTGGCCCAGGGGTTAGTGAAAGCTTTAGTCATCGCACTTCTTGACTGCCACCCATGTGATTCCCAGTGCTGGGGCAGGCTGGCCTTGGTCCCTTCATGTGGGCCTGGGCTGTAGGCATGCATTACCATAGAAGAGGATCATCACCTCTTCCATGTGACAGGGCTGTCATAGCTACTACAGTAAACTTAGAAGTGTCAAAAAATACAGCTTCCAAGCCCACAGCTGACTGAATCCATGCTGCCATAGGCAGGCTTCTGTCAGCAGAAAGCAGGTGGTGTCCTCCCTGGGTGCTCAGCCACCTGTCTCTAGCCCCAGGGAAAAGACTGGTCACAAGGAGTCCTCCTAGTTAACATTGTGTTTTATTATAAGCAATATTGGAAAAATAGCTCCTATTCTGTTAGTACCAAAGTTAATTGTTCTACTAAGCATAGAAATACCACACAAAATCTGGCTGTTAGCATATTGCAAGTGAGGATTCATGAAGGAGTAAGGAAGAGAAGGATCTGCTTAAGGGGACCAGAGATTCAAGTCACTGCTGGCTGCCCCTCAGGGCAGGAATTAAAACAGTGCCTTTGTCCTGCACCAGACGGCTGAGTCCCATACCAGTGTAGGTGTTCTAGATGTTGGTGGGATTCTGTGGTGGAAGTGGTCTCATGCTATGCCCACCCTCCTGGGATGTGGGGCCTGTACTGTGAGCCAAGGCCTTACTTGATTCTGTTGATGACTTTCCAGTTGGGACTTAGCACCCCCTTTTTGTATCATGTGCCTGACACAGAAGCTGTTGTTTAAACAATGTTAAGACCTGTAACTTCCAGAATATGTTGTGTTTGGCACCTTCAAGACACCATGAGGAAGACTGGCCACTAGTGGAAATGGGGTCACAACTGCACTAACTGGATGGATGCCCTGAGGGGTCTCTCTCAGGAGGCATGCCTAGTCTAAACATGGACTGAAGTTCTGCATTCAAGTGTAATGTTTTAGATTAGGAGTTGATGTGTCTGTGGAGCCTAGAGAAGAAAGTGGCTATTAGGAAGTGGGCTGTACCTGCATGTGTGACCTGTGGTATGCTGTCACCAGGTAGCCAGCACTACCCATCCACCCTGCCTAAATGCCCAATTATGATGGCTCAAGCTGCTACCCCTATTGCAGCTCTTTGGTGAAATGCCCATTTTTAGCTAAGGAGTGCACCAAGCTGCAGAGCGTACCAGAAGACCCCTATATCCTGGCTGCCCCCATGCCTAACTGGTTCTCTCTGGCTCAGTTTTGTTGTGTTACTCTGCTGATGATTAGCCGTCAGACTGAGTAGTCTGAGAATCACTGTTTCCAAACATGTCTCCATTGAATTTCTCTGAGCACCAGTCTCTGCTGTCTTTTGCCTTCAGTGAGGCCTGTCCACTCTGCACCAGGGTGTGTGGCCTGACGCCATGCTTTTATTTATTTTGTCATGGAGGAGGGCTGCCTTGTGAAAAATACTTACCCTGGCCTGTAGTTCACAACTTCTGTTCCATGGTGACTGTGAGCCCAGCCCTGGTAGCTCCTGGTAGAGTGGAAGCTAGCAATTTTCCAAAAGAATTTGGAGGACGTTGCTGCTGCTGAAGGGTATGTCCACATAGCCCTTCTGTTCTGGAATTTGTAGGCCCAACATAGACCTAGAGCCAGTAGCAGGAACAAGGTAGGCTAAGGGAGCCCCCCCCCCCCCCGGAAATTCTGGGCATCCATCCCAGTCAGGGTCTGTCTGCCCACATTTATGCAAGGGTCCACAAGTCCACAGGTGACTCCAAAGCATTGCTTTTTGCCTGTTCTAAAAGGACCGTATAATAGCTCTGTGGGCATGATTATAGATGGTTGTGTGTGGTTGTTTTTTTTAAGTAATACTGGGGAGCTGGAGATGTAGCTCAGTGGGTAGAGTGTCTGCCTAGAATGCATGAGGCCCTGCGTTTGATTCCCAGCACAATATGAACCAAGTATGGTGGTGCGTGCCTGTAATTCCAGACTTGGGAGGTAGAGGCAGGAGGATCAGGAGTTGAGTATCATCCTTGACTGCATAACAAGTATGATGCCAGCCTGGGCTATGTGTGAGCTTGCCTTAAAAAAGTGAAATTTGGAGATTCTCATTCTAAGGGTGCCTCCTGGGAAGCTCCAAGATGTAAGCTTGCCTCTTCTCCCTAAAGCACAAGCTTCACTACAAAAGGGCCAGTTATGTTTATTTCTCAATCACAGGCTTCTGCTGACCAGTGATACCTTGTCATTTTTGTTCTAGTAAATACTCTCGAATGTGTTAAACTGTTGTCGTGCTTTGATTTTCCCAATTTGTTCTCCCTCTCTGCTGCCCCTCTGCCCCTTTCAACCCTCCTGTGGAACTGGAGTGTAAGCATGGGTGCACCTGTCTCGGGTTCACCTGCTGAAGCCCACCATGGGGACTCAGGCAGGTCTGGGCAGGGGAAGAGGGAGCTAGATGAGCCCCGAAGGTTCTGGCCTACTCTAAAACCATGTTATCAAAAACAGGTCTCCAGACCCCATCATATGGCGAGCACTTCCCACAATAGAGTCACCGTGTAAGTGAAGCCCCCAGCACAGCCTGAACACAGGCAGGATATCACAAGGGCTTTTGCCTTTTTAGACATGTGTTTTGTTAAAGATGAATTCAGGATGTATAAAATTACAGAGTGGTTAAGAAAGGGGGGGTCGCTACCCAGGGGCAGCTTCATAGACATATTTTTCCTTTTGGTTTGTTTTCTTGCTGGGACTCATGCCCAGCAGGACCTTGCCCATGCTAGGCTAGCACTCTGCCACTGAGCTGCACCCCAGGCCTCCATGTGTATCTTGGTGCCATGATTTTAAGTTCACTGTGTTCAGCTTGGACAGCACTGTCTTGTCACTTGCATATATCACATGCAGAGAGATCTGCGGGCTTAACACCTGCACACAGGGGACCCATGGCAAGCATCCTGTCCTGATCTGAGACTCCCCAGGGTCAGGGATCCCAAGGAGGCCAAGACTCCAGCTAGCTCGAGTTTGGATGTCTTCAAAGCACTTACAAGCCCCACCCCTCTGGGGAGCCAACACTACAGGCACCCAGGACACCCATGTGGCCCCCACTCAAGCCTGGAGTGCAGACCTAGTGCATTTTTGGAGCTACTCTATTTTGGCTGTAGCTCACTCTAAATGTTGGATTTGTGTCCAGAGCTGGCCAGTGGGAGCCTACTGCATGGCAGGAAAAGTGCTGTCCCCGAGACAGCAGGGGCCTCTCCAAGGAAGGCATTTCTTCCTCAGACCCTGTCCCCTGCATGTTGTATGCTGTCTGAGGAGTGGACCCTGAGGCCCTGAGTGAATTCCTAAGAGACCCTTGTGTAATCCAGTTCATCTGCCTGGAGTCTGCAGAGCCAGCCCATCAGCACCTTAACTTGGGGAAGGTTCAGAGCTTCGCTGAGGGACAGCTCTAATGGGTAGGAAAGGGAAAATAGGTTTGGAAAAGAGGAGATATCCAGAAAACCCCAGATCTCTCTGTCTACAGCCTAGAGGAGCCAGGGTACTCAATGGCCAGCTCTGGCCCCAATCTGACAGGGTCAGTGCTTCCCAGAATCTCAGGGGTGCTGGACCGTTTGAGGTTGCCCCTCCAATGGAGAGTGGGAACAGATGTAATGGGTTTTGGTGTACAGCCACCATGATCTGTTGAGTGGTAGAGGTGGCGGCTCAGGGTCTCCATTTTGGTAGGGCTCTGAACCCAAGAGAGCTCAGGAGGCCAAATGAAGTTGGGAGGAGAGGAAGCCACACTCCCTGGGGATGAGCTGGGGCATGAGGGTGGATCCAAGTCAGTATGGGTCAATGATGACCAGCACCAGACCCAGAGGAAGGCCTGAGCCCTGTCACTGATAAGCCCCTAGAGGGTGTCTGCATTGCTCTGTATGTGAAAAGGGGGCAGGCAGCAGGACTCTGAAGCTTGGGAGCTGAGTC